GCAGATTTCTGAGATAAAAAGCCCACAAATCCCATTTTTAACATCCTCTAGTTCTCAACCAATTATATTGTGGCATGAGTATGAAAAAACTGGGGATGAGGCAGGACTGAATGCAGGTAATGAATACAAGCTATGAAAGAGGATATAAAGTTAATTTTTTCTAGTTCTCATGGATTTTTGGTGATGAGTAAATTCATAAAATATATTCAATAATGAAGTATATAACCTGATATGAAACTTCCCAGTGTCCATTCTGAATGGCTACTCTGAAGTTCACTGAGTTGTACAGTTTTTCATCTGGCTAATTTCAGTGTATGAGGGGTTTTGTTTGTTTGTTTGTTCATTTTGTTTTGTTTTTTAATGGGGTTAGGGAGAAACTTGGAGCTAGGGAAGTTCCCAGGAATCCACAAGGATGACCCCAGCTAAGACTCCTAGCAATAGTGGAGAGGCTGCCCAAACTGGCCTTCCCCTGTAATCAGATTGGTGAATACCCTAATTGACATCATCACCCAGTAACTGATTGAAGCAGATGCAGAGATCCACAGCTAAGCACTGGGCTAAGCTCCTGGAATCTGGTTGGAAAAAGGGAGGAAGGATTATATAAGCAAGGGGGGTCAAGATCATGATGGGGAAAATCACAGAGACAGCTGACCCGAGCTAGTGGGAGCTCACAGACTCCAGACTGACAGCTGGGGAACCTGCATGGGACTGAAATAGGCCCTCTGAATGTGGGTGACAGTTGTGTGGCTTGATCTGTTTGTGGGGCCTCTGGCAGTGGGACCAAGATTTATCCCTGGTGCATGAACTGGCATTTTGGAGCCCATTCCCTATAGTGGAATACCTTACTCAGCCTTCATGCAAGGGGGAAGGGCTGGGTCCTGCCTCATTTTGGTATGACAGACTTTGTTGACTCCCCAAGGGAGGCCTTACCCTCACTGAGAATTGGATGGGGTGTGGGGTCGGGGTGGAGGACAGTGGGGGGAGTGGGAGAAGGGAGGGGAACTGTGGTTGGTATGTAAAATGAAAAAAAAATTTAAATAAAAAAAGAAAGTTTTAAATTGTTCAAGGAAAAGTATATTTTGGCAATATTTACAACTCTAACAGGACAGGTACCACACACAGTGGACAGCAACTGGCAGCAGTCAGGCGTCAAGTCACAAGGAATATTGTGACCTGCAAACCCAGGATGTAGGAGAAGCAAGTGGTTAGTCCATGATCCATTCAGAGCCATGGAGAGCAGGTTGCCTTCAAATGAAGGTCCTAACATGAGAACTAGACCACTTGTTTTGTAAGAATAGGAGAAACACAATTAAACGCTGTAGGATCAGAAAGAACAAAAGATTAAAAGCAAAATCGCTTTCCCGTTAGCTGTTGGGTGGAAGTGAGGAAAAGGGAATTACTGCTGAGAAAAGAGTCCTAGCTGGAATAGAAAGTGGTGATAGCTAAGTACAAAGTTAGGGGAGCTAACATTGGTCTACTTTTATTTGATTTTAAAAACCTGGTCATTATCATTTAAGGAAATGATTACCTTATCATAAGAACTAGAGAGAAAAAAATTGAATTGTGCCAGAAGCATTAGAGAACATTAATTAAATGAAGATAAAGTAGAAATGATGTGGCTTATTAATTTTACTAGAGTAGTTAACAGCTCCTGGCTGTTTCCAGGGCTAATGTAGAGATCCTGAATTCCTGGGTATCTGGGGAGAGTTACTAGATTTTCTGTCCATTAATGACAAGGGATGCAAGCCCTGGTAATTAACGGGGCTGTCACCTAAACTTCACTGCCCAGAGGGAAGTGAATCACTGAACAATCAATTTACAATCCCAGATAACTGAGAACAGAATGGGGACCGGCATGCCTTCCAGAGAACAATTTTGTTTCAAGATAATGAAAGTGTGCTGGAGAAGATGGACCTGCAGAGATGCAGATTAGAGATTGCAGCAGCTGATCAGTTTCATCTCCAATCAGGAGCTTGACCTTTGACCTCAGTGTTATAGGAGAGTATAAGACACTCTTATTAAAGTTAAAATAGACTTTGTTTAGAGACAAAACTCTCTTTACACTACAGATATTTGAGACATTTTCTTTCATTCACAAGGAGCTCCAGGTCTCCTGATTTTACCCAATTTCACAGACTCTGATGACACAGAAGCATCTCTATGCTAAGCCTCTGGAGCAGCACAGCTGTGCACATGAATAATCTTATCAGTCACCTCCTAACAAATGCCTGCAGGAGAAGAAACACAGCCAACGTAATCACTCCAGTCTTACCACAAATGATAAAAATCAATCTTGGCAACCAATTTGGTGTGTTGATGTTTTTGGCATTGTTTCTCCAGGATGGATGTGATGGTATTATAACCTACCACAAAAAGGATAATAGTCTTCACCCCTAAATACGACACACATTCACTTGGTTTCAATTTTCTGAAAATTGAATGGCATTATTTGTTTTAAATAATGGTATGTTTCTAAAATGAGTGTCTAATGCAAAGTCTGCCTACAGTTTTTCACTCTGGCTCTTGCTATGTTTTTTTACTGAAGAAAAAATTAGTTTAGAAAACAGCATTTCTATAAAATACTGAGTCCAGATAACTGATATTAGGTTAATTCAGGAGTTCAATATTAAAATACATATGTCAGTATCTTAACAAAAGTGTCACAAAACTGTTATGAAACTATGAATTAGAAATTTCAAGCTATTAATAACACTTCTTGTAAAGTGAATTTTTAATTTTCATAAGAAAAGGAATAAACAAACACTAGTGATCCAATGAAAAACCACAGTGAATACAGCATAAGCAATTAACTAGATTGCAAAGATATCTAGATTTTAAGCATTGAGTTTGCATTGACAAAATGTTGTTGCTCTAAATTTACTTCAAGAGCTGACTGAGTCATGATTGAAAATACAATATTAAGTCAAGCATGTAAAAAAGGTAAGGTACCCATGAAAATTCAGTATTCACAAGACAAAACATACAGACCAACAAATTTACTTTAGTATATTAGTGTTGTCTTGTGACAGTTAAATGACCCAGCACTTAAAGTTCTCTGCTGACTGCCTTAAAAAAAATGACTGAAATGTGTACACTAACAATGGAAGTTGGGAGCAAAAACGTTGGCTAAATAAAAATGTAGCAGGAATAGACTTGGGAGCCATGGGAAACAAAATATTCCAAAAGAAGGTGAAGGTGTCCACGGAGGCAATGAGGTAGGAAGAATGATTTCAGGATGTTAAGGGTAGAGTGAGGTTTGTTCTCCTCAGCTGGAATCTCTCTGCACTTGGCCCTTCTAAACAGGGTAAACAGTAATCAGAAGTCCTCAGAAGCATGGGGAAGGAAGGGATAAACGAAAGAGATAAAGACCCAGAATTACTTTGGTCTACAAATGCAGACATTCTTCATGGAGAACTCTACCTAAAGATGTGGCTTCTCAATTCAAACACAAAAGTCGTTAAGGGTTACACTGAGTAAAGAAATTGTGTCATGTGAGTTTAAATTATTTTCTATGCAAAAACTTGTTAAGTTATTGGCTTCTCCTATTACATAAACCTCAAACAAATGCCAAAAAAATTACACAAATTGAACATAAATACTTACAAATGAAGATTTTGAAAACATAATATAATATAATATATTAAACACACTTGCATCAAATGTTTAATCTTTCATTTATAATCATGGGATTTTTAATCATCTTTGTTAGAAATATTGTCAATAAACAGAGTTCACTTCAATTTGAATAAAAAGCAGAGAAAATTATAATTCAAAGTAGAAATTAGTAGGATCTTAGAAGGAAAATTCATATGGACAGAAGTATTTTACCCACTCAGTTGAATATTATGACTGCTTTAAATAAGTGGAAATAAACATTTAAAAATATAGTCCAATACCCAAGAGCATAATAAAAAACATTTTAGTCAGGTTACCAAATACTTTATTACAATTTACAGTTTTTATTTTCAAAGTCATTTTCTATGACTTCATAATCTCTGATTTATTAACTATAAGATTATAGTTAATCTTAGATGTAGCTTTTAAGTATAAGTATGATCATCTAGAAACTTTGTAAAAAAATTATTACAGACATCTGTATTTAAAGTGTACTGCCATATGTATTTATCAGAATAACTTAATTTGCTAGATGATTTTTGTTGTTTTATTTTGAATTATTTTACATTTGGACTGCAGTTCCTCCTCCCTCCTCTCCTCCTAGTCCCTCCCTCCCAATATCTCTTCTGTCCCCTCCATCCCCACCCATTCTTCCTTCAGTTCTTCTCAGAAAAGGGCAGAGCTCCCATGGATATTGACAAAATATGGCTCATCAAGTTGTAGTAAGATCACCCTGAACAAGCCCCATCTCATCTGATCTTGGAAGCTAAGCAAGGTCAGGCCTGGTTAGTACTTGAATGGTAGCTAGACGATTTTAAATGAACATGTCCTTGTGATAACTAAGCCATCAGATACCAACCACATGGAATTGGCATTTAAGGGAGTAGACATGGTATCTTTTTTACCAAATAGCTGAAAACAAAGTTAATTTCCAGAGATTCAAATATACCTTTTAAAGATTCAAATCCTACACAGGGAGTGTATGAAAGAAAAGTGTATTTTATCTTATGCTTCAGAAGTACTCTTCTCTATATATATCCCTTCTCTCAATCTTATCTTTGCATGAGTATTCAAGTTTCAGTGAGTTTCCTCACAATCTAATATTCACAAAGTTAAAAAATAAGATACTTAATAAGATACTTATTAAATCAACTAGACAGAAGGTAACAATTTCAAGGATGGAGTTGTGTGTAAATTGGACAGGTGGACATAAAGAAAACTTTAAATCAACACGTGGTGCCCTCAGAGTGAAATGGTAAGAAGGATTGGAACAATCTAAGAAACAGAAAGGGAGGATTAGCCTCTATGTTACAAACTAGCAACAGTTAAGTATCCGTTCTAGTTCCAGCAGAAGAAAGCTAGGAAGAAAGTTACACTTAACTTACCTTTTCACTACATCCTCCCCATTCCAACAGGGTCTTCCTTCAGCAGCAGCTAATTCAGTAATGCAAAGCTGATCAGCCAGGCCACCGTAGAAAGACCTGTGCAGTCTAAGGCTGTTGATGAATTCTCTGGATGGAAAAAAAAAAAGTTTTTAAACCCATAGAGAAGATCTAAATAACTATTACTACAAACACCTTATAGAATGCTATACTTTACTAATTGATTTTTATATATTTAAGACATTTTTATAGCAACCAGTAAAATCATTATTTTATAAAAGAATGTCATGTTAATATTTAACTTTATTTTTGGAATAGAAAAAATTCACTGGCTATGAATCTTAAAGATAAAGGGTTTTAGATACCATGTACCTACAGGCACACACTCCACTTCATTCAGTCTACCTAAATCCCTCCCTTGCTATTGGCATCTAAACACAGAGACACAATTATTTTCTATTCTATGTGGAAGACATCTGGCTTACACCATGCTTATGAATTGCCTATTGAATAAAGGTTTATTCAACTTCTATCATGTTTCTGAGTCTTTGGTAACAAGGAATATAAAGTAGTAAGTTTTTACTATACATGACTCTAAGCCCTAGACATAAAATATTTCAGAAGTACTAAAGTAAAATTTAATAGAGTGAAGAATGTTTAGTGTATCAACTAAGGTTTTAATTTTTTTTCACTTTCTATTTCTCATGCCTCTGAGGATTACAGAAGGGAAAATGCAATGATAATGAAGAATTTTGCATTTTTTTGCTTAGAAGGCAATGACATTTAAGTTTTGAAATCAGGACCTGGAAGGACAAAGAATGCTTGCTTTGCAAATTCAAATGCCAGTGTACAGATATCCAGAATCTATGGAGGAGGACACAATGTGGCTTTCACATCTCCCATGTATAGTGTACATGTGTACATTTACACCTGCACATTAATGTACACTCACATACATGCAAACACTAATACACACATGCACATGCACACTCACAAAATTAATGTGTGAAGTAAGAATTTTAAGATAATTTTTAACTAAGGTCACTTAGGTGACATCATTGACTGATACATACAAGGAAGGAAGAAACAGCTTTTCCTAGTGTCCCACCCCATACTTTCAACTACTCTTATCCTGTCCCGTGTTTTCATCTTTCCTGATATTCTCTCTAGCCTACTGTGTGTGTGTGTGTGTGTGTGTGTGTGTGTGTGTGTGTGTGTGTGCGTGTGCAATGTTCTCATTATATTTTGCAGTTTCTTATCTTTCTTCCTGCTCTAGATAAAATAGTCAAGTAGGCAGGGGTTCTTCTGTTTGCTTGTTTTATTTATTGCTTTAGATCTGAGGGTAATGATGGCGACAGAGAGTAGATCTAATTAACAGTCATCAGAGTAATAAATGACCAAAGACCAAAGAATTAGTGTTTGGTTTGATATTTTGTGAGATGCCCATCTTGAGAATCAAGTCAAATGCTACTTTCAAACTTCATGAGTGTAAACATCATCTACAAATATTGCCACCATTGAGATGTAGACAAAATAACTCCAAAAAGGGACCAAAATTCTGTATTTCACACAAAGGCTGGCCAATGCTGTTGATGCTACTGGTTCAAGAGTCATGAGTGTAACACACTACACTCTTAAATATTAGACTTTAGACCTTGACAGACTAGTGATGTCTGGTTCTTCAACCAGGGAAGTGGTGAACAGAGCCATGGATATTAGGGGAATTTTACAGAGAATCCCTATGCATTAAGAAAAATGTCAAAGGTACTCAAAATAAAGGGGGTGGGGGCAAAAGCAAAGTCACAAAGTCATGCAAACAAAAGACTGAGGGGAACTGAAGTCAGCACAATTGTTCACAGTATGAAGTACTGTGCCAGTTGGTTAAACATGGCAACTAAATTGCTGTGGACTGAAGTTTGCTCCACCCTCAAACAATACATTGTTGTTGCTCTTGGTTGTCCACTGCAGCTAGATGCTAAGGTCCTATTTTAGAAGAGAATACAGGCTACTGTTTCAGGACATATAGAAATCAAGCTGGAAATGACTGACATAGAAACTTCCTCCCTACTTGGTTCCTTTCAAAGTGGCAGAATGTAATATGCAGGCCATCGAGGAAGGGGAATCTTCAATAGATTTAGTGAGATATGGACCTTGCAAGTTAAATACTGGCCTCCCAGGTAAACTGTGATAACTGGTACAGTGAAATCATGACAGTTATAACTGCCTTATCAGTGGATCTAAGGGTCCCTCCACAGTAGGAAATTTTGTCTGGTTGTGCAAATGTAGTCCAAATCCCAGAACGAGCAAGGCTCTGTACAGTAACCTACTGTGGTCATTTTGCATAATAAATATGGTGCTCAAATTGCCCTCTAAACATTTATATTTATACATATAGATTAGAGTTATTCTTAACCTTGGCCAGAGAAGCATCTTTTTTGCAATGTTCAATAGTCAATGCAGAATCTTATAACTAAAAAAAGGGCTGAAGCCCTAAATGGGACATTTGTTTCAACCTTCCAATGCTCAGAGAACATTGCAAAAAAGAAAGTAGAAATAAATGTAACAGTTTAAGATGGAGAGGATGGAAAAATGCTGCTGTCATCTAGATGTGACATGACTGTGGTACGCATGAGCTCACTATTCTAAGGTTATCTGAAAAAGCCTTATACATAAGATCAAGACAATCAACATTCAAGCACAGATGGGAGAGAGGCATATGAGGCTCTGCCCATAACTGATACCTGAGGAGGCACTGGCAACAGAGATCTGCTGGTGGAAGGGAGTCACTTTCCTGTGGGCATGGCATCCAGCCTCTGGTAAGCTGCCCACGCCCCAGTGGATGGTCCCACACTCACGAGTATATAGACAACGCTAACTGGACTCTGAGTTTTGTTGCTGTTGTTGTTGTTTTAATTTTTTAAAGAGGAATAGCACATAATGTGGGGACCGTATTGGGAGATGTTTGGGGGAAGAGGATAGGAAAATTGGGTTTCATATTGTCTTAGTTACTGTTCTGTTGCTATGTAAGACACCATGACCAAAGCAACTTATGGAAGTGTTTAATTTGGGTTTATGATTTCAAAGGGTTAGAATATGTGATGGCAGAGCACAGATATTGCGGGAGAACACCTGAGACCTTCTGACTCACAAGCAAAAGGCAGAGTGAGAGAGAGAGAGTGACTTGAATCTTTTGAAATCTCAGAGCCTATACCCAGTAAGGCCACCTGCTCCAACAAGGTCACATCTCCTAATCTTTCACAAACTCTTAGATGAACTGCAGACCAAATATTCAAGACATGAAGCTATGAGGGCTATTCTCCTTCAAACCACCAGAGATATAATCAAGATATATTGTATGTTTATGAAATTGTCAAATAATAAATAATACTATTCTAAAATGTAGTTTCACTAAGGTTCTAGAAGAGTCTACATTAGGTACAAGTGTGATTGAGTTGTTTGGAAATAAGTAGTAGAAACAAAGTAGTCAAAAAGACTTATCAACTACAACATAACCAACTGAATTTGGTTCTTATGCTTGGAATGTGAAATATAGCCCATAGTCTCACATTTGAACACTTGTTTCCAAAGACCGTGGTGTTTTAGGGGGAGGTCATGAAAACTTTAGGAGATACAATCTTACTAGTGGAAGTGAGTCACTGGGGGGTGGAGTGATTAATAGCTGGCCACACTTTCTGTTCATTCTTCGGTTCATGAGTATGGATGCAATGTGACTAGCCAGTTTCCTGTTCCTGGTGCATGCCTCCCCTACCATGATATACTGTATCCCTCTGGAATTATAAGCCAAAATAAAGTATTTCTTACTTAAGTTGCTTCTGTTAGGGTATTTTTAATCACCTAAACAATAAAGTAATCCCTATCTTCCTTCCCAGCTCAGTGCTAAGACATGTGATTCCACTTCTAGTTAACATGACATATTTCAATAAAAGAAATATTATATTCTTGAAAACTATTCTGCATCTAAATTGATATGGGTGTGGCTAATACATATATTTACTTTTCTACCACCATGAAGATGATATCCTTTAAATTTGGAAGCATAATAAATTCAGGAAAAAGTTAAAAAGCTTTTGCTAATTATCCTTCAGTAATTATGTTACTTATGTAAGTTTTTCATCTTGGCCTGAAAATATCACTGAAATATAGAAATCATATATAATTCATATGAGAAATTGAATTGCAATATTTAAAAGGATATGGGAAAGTGTTCCTTGTCTGAATGTTTTTTCAAAGTATCATCTACCAGGTCCATATAAAAATGTATAAATTCAGGCTTCAAACTTAACAGATGGGCCATGCCTCTTAATTTTGTCCCTTCTCTTTCCCTTCAACTCCTTTTCTAAGCTTCACTGAGAAGCAACATTGGAAATCATGAATACCATTTTTGATGCTTTGAAATACAAAATAATTTAGACAAAAAATGTCTTATGATGGCCAGGACCTCTTCACTTTCACCCTGTAGCCTCATTCCATGCTCATTCTTGCTTCTAGTCCCACATTCCAGCCAAAAATCACATTTTTATTGAACGATTGCATAAAATATATCTGTATTGCTTTAACAAAATTTGTGCTTAGCATATTCATTTCCTCCTCTTAGTTTTGCCTTCTACATCACTCTATTCATCATTCTTCAGTGTCTCATTTAAATTTGTCCTCCTCTCTTCCTTCCTCATTGATCTATGCAGTGTCTGTGGGTTCTTCCTGTCTCTCATCCATGTGTTCTTAATAGTCCCTGTCCTACAGTTGTTTCTACTCTGTAAATCTGCCTCCTCCAATGGAGGGCTCTTCTCTCACAGCAAAAGCTCTACCTTGTCTATCATTTGTACCGGGGATTTGATCATCATTTACACCCAACAGATGCTCAAATGCTTGATAAATCAGCCCTTGGTGACGTCTTAGGTTTTTATACTTTCCAGAATTGAAAATTAGTATAATATACTTTTTTAAATGATGGTATTGTTAAGCTCTTAAACTGAAAAATGTCTTAAGATTCTTTAAACCATAGGACCTACTTCTAGATTGTGAAAAGCCATATGTCCCTAGTATATTCTATCGAAATATTAGATGTGTAGAGGTCAGGATTACTAACTCAGTAGCAGTCCCAAGGAATG